AGGGCGACCGGCGCCTGAGGGGCGGAGCGCGGAAGGACGGACCAAAGGGATCTCCCGGGGGGAGGAGCTTAGCTTGGACACGCCCCTCCGCGGAGGAGACGTTTCTCTCCCTCCGCTGATACTTTTTTGGGGGGAGGCTGTCGTGGACTACAGTTCCCATTATCTCCACCCCAGCCTAGCCACCTGTAATTCGGGCAATGCCTCCCATCTCCTTTTTTTTCTTCTTGTCCTAGTAATTGCCCCAGGCGTGAGGATCCCGACCCTTGGGTGGTGGTTGGACGACCACTCCCAAAATCCCCAGGCAGGGATGGGAGTTGTAGTCCAGGCCCAAATCAAATTTTTAGCTCCTACTCGATCAGGCCTACGGAAATAATGAGGAGAATGGTTAAGTCTGCACTTGTAACTGTTTCTGCGTCCACCAAATGCCAGTTGAGGAAAGCACAGATCTGTGTGGGTATTTTGTGGACTACAGTTCCCAGGATCCTCTAGGCAGGGGGTTCCTTTTAGCCGCTAATCACACCTGCGGTTTGCAGAACAAGGCTCCAAAAGGGAAAAAAAAAGGGATACCAAAACAGGGGTCTTAAGTCAAGACTGAGGTGTGAAATGCCACAATGAATCACACAATTGTCCTGGATGAACGTGGTGCCGTGTGGTTCACGTACTCTCAACTAAACCGAGTTTCACTGAGTGGTTAAGGTCTTTGGCTGTAGAGCCAGAGGTTAGGAGTTCAATTCCCCACGGGGCCTTGACAGGGATTGGACTGGATAATCCATAGGTTCCCTTTCCAGTTATGCATTTCTAAGAGATAATGAAAATGATCAATTCAATGGGTCTAGTCTGTTTGGGATTATCAAATGGATTCAGGCCCGACACCCTCAACCTTTGCTCTTTGTACTTTTCACCACCCTTACATGGGCTTGAATCTGGGCACTTAAAAAAGTAAGGTTTTCTGGTAAAAAAAGTGAACTTGCACCTTGTGAAGAGATACAACCTTTTTGATGGCAACGTCTTGGTCTGGAAAGGCCTCTGTTTTGTTTTAACAGACAATCTCAGTTCTGTTTTTTGTTGCTGCTTCCGTACATATGCATTCTAAATTACCTTACTGTTAAAGTTCAACTTTAACTCCTTTTGTTGTTGTTAGGTAAAGGTAAATGTTCTTGATATTGAGTCCAGTCGTGTCCGACTCTAGGGGGGGGTGCTCATCCCCGTCTCCAAGCCATAGAGCCAGAGTTTGTCCATAGACAGTTTCTGTGGTCACGTGGCCGGTGCGACTAGACACGGAACGCCGTGACCTTCCCACCGAGGTGCTACCTATTTATCAACTTGCATTTTTACATGCTTTCAAACCGCTAGGTTGGCAGGATCTGGGACAAGCAATGTGCTCACTCCGACGTGTGGATTCGATCTTACAACGGCTGGTCTTCTGACCTTGCAGCATAGAGGCTTCTGCAGTTTATCCCGCAACGCCACCACGTTGTTGTTACACACCCTGAAAAGGGAGTTTTTAAATGTAGGACATAAACGCAGATCAGAAAGCTCCTGCTTCACTATTTTCTCGGCGTTCACAAACCAGCTCAGGACAAAAAAGATAAAAAGGACAAGAATGTATTTGATGTCACGTAAAGTGTACAAAGAGCCCTACCTATATATCAATAAAAAAAGAGTCTAAGATAAAGAAAATGATTCCTCCTGCCCCCATGCTATCCCATCACCCTACCACCCATGTTTCAAGAGCTTCCTTAGCCAGCTTCTGCCAGTCAATATTTTGGTTCGGAGATATCAGTGATGGCAGTGAAATAGATCCGCTGCTCCCACTCTGACAGCTGCTGCACGAACCCCCGGTTGGGTCGCATGTTCATTTTGCACTTCTGGACATAACTCCATGCATTCTGCAAAGGAAAGCACAGAAGGGCTGGGATTTAAAATAATAATGATCTAAAAACTCATAACGTTGGTGGCATTCTGTACCCAGTGGAGGTGAAAAGCAGAATATGAATGGAGGTGGTATGATAGTCCACATAGGGTCCCTCTGGGTTACACTTACCTTTAAGTAAAGCCTGCAGGAATGGATAAGGTAAGCCATTACAGCTGTGCTGCATCTGCTGATGCCCAAGGTAGAAAAAACCAGAACTGCTTCCTGGTTTATGTGACTGTCTAAAAACCGTAAGAAGAAGGCATGTTTACAGCCTAGCTTTCACCTCCTGACCCCTTTTACTCTGCCATTACAATAAATAAAAAAGACACCCTCTTTTGCCAGAAATGCCTTAAAGCAAACAGGCCAGCCTCTGTGCCAAAGTAGAAACACAAGCCAGACTTTAGAAGCAAACAGTATTCAAAATTGACTGAGGAAACATTTGTTTCCTTAAATATGGCTCAGGGGGCCATCCTTGAACCAAACAAAAAACTTCAGAGGCAGGGTCCAAAGAACACATTGAGAAGTTCAAGTGGGCCTCCTTTGATCTGAACAGAGACAAAAGCTTTTTATTTCGCTATATATGTTATCCAGCTCATCTATGCAGTTTCAACATTCTTGATGTGCGTTTTTGGACAACTCTTTACAACCACCCTTTAAGGTGGGTTAAACCTTAAGCCGGAGGCTCCCGATCCCCATGTGCAGAAACATGTGCCGGCTTGAGGCTATGCATGCCACTGAAGCTAATGCCAAACACAGCCTGTTAAGTCTTTAACGTGCTGCCAGAGTCTTCGTTGCTTCAGCTGCCGCTGCAGACATGGCTCTGGACCTTTGTACTATTTGCATCTGGATTCAAAAGCAAATGCTAGGGAAAAATCTTTCCCTCGACTAGGCAATGTCGGTGGGTCTGGGGGAATAATTCCTCTGAGAGATCTGCCCAGACCCAAAATGCATTGAAAACCGAAAGCGAAGTTTCCAAAAATCCTCACAACTCTGTGGTATTGCGGGGGGGGGGGTCAATGCATGTGAAGCCTGTTGGGTTGTTGTTGTTGTTATGTGTTGTCAACCCTTCTTGGCCTCAGGGTGGCCCTATGAATCAACCATCTCCAAAAGGCCCCATCCTCTGCTGCCCTGCTCAGCATTCACAAACCAAAGCCTGTGGTTCCTTCAGGAAGCCAATCCATCTCGTATTGAGTCTTCCTCTTTCCCTGCAGCCTTCCACCTTTCCCAGCATGATGGTCTTTTCCAGAGATGATCCTGCCTTCTCCTGATGGGCCCAAAGGAGGACAGCCTCGGCTTCAACATTTTTGCCTCCAAGGACAGTTCAGGCTTGATCAAGGACCCACTTGTTTGCTCTCTTCCAAGCTGACAAATCCCCCCCCCCCCATCAGCTTTTCTTTACTATCCAGCTTTCACACCTAATGCATAGCGATTGGGAATACATGACTTGTACCGAGAGTTAAATTTACAACCAGAGGCTGTTGCGGCTAACTGTGGGCCCCTCCCGGCACAACCCTAGACACTAGGAGAGGCAAGCTCTGGTAGACTGGGGACCGATTTGCGCCTGCCCCCCCCCTTCAGAACCACCGGTGGCTACCCAGAATCTCCTAAAACATTTAAAAGCTGAATTGCACCCCGGGGGGGGGGGGGGTTGTTTCCAGCTTTCTAATGCATAGCGATTGGGAATACATGACTTGTACCGAGAGTTAAATTTACAACCAGAGGCTGTTGCGGCTAACTGTGGGCCCCTCCCGGCACAACCCTAGACACTAGGAGAGGCAAGCTCTGGTAGACTGGGGACCGATTTGCGCCTGCCCCCCCCCTTCAGAACCACCGGTGGCTACCCAGAATCTCCTAAAACATTTAAAAGCTGAATTGCACCCCGGGGGGGGGATTTTTGCCTCCAAGGATAGTTCAGGCTTGATCAAGGACCCACTTGTTTGCTCTCTTCCAAGCTAACAAATCATCCCCCCATCAGCTTTTCTTTACTATCCAGCTTTCACACCTAATCCCAATCTATATGGGATTGTTCTGTTACTAATTCTGGCCCCAAGGGTGACGTGAGGGTCAGCCCTTCAGCCTTCTTGCTGTTCCCAGCCGAATACGCACCTTTACCTGGTGGTCAGCCAGTTCCACTGTAATGAGTGGCTTTTGCTTCTGAGGAGAGGTCTATATAGGATTGTTCTGTTACTAATTCTGGCCCCACGGGTGATGTGAGGGTCAGCCCTTCAGCCTTCTTGCTGGCCACCCGCACAGCCGGTCCACCAGGGGTGGAAACCTCTGGGCGAGGGATGGCCTGTGCCTTTTGTCCCTTCCGATGCAGAGGGAAGGGAGACGGGCAACCCCATTTCCCTTGACTCACCGATGAAATGGCAAATATCACTGAAGTGTGAAAAGAGATCAGCCTCGGGAGTGTCCGGAATGGAAATGTGGAGGAGCCTGTCACTCTCCTCGAGGAAACTAAGAGAAAGCAAAGAGGAGACGGCCTTGGGAAGTTGCAGGAAAGCCAGTGTGCTTCTCGTGTTGACAAAAACAAGCACAAATCACTTGCTGGCTTCTGGCGCATAAAGAACAATGGACCGAGTCTGATACAAGGGGGAGAAAAGGAACACCGAATGCCCTTTCAAAGCCATCCAAAAGGTCAACCATTGCTACATCTGGTGGCAGCGAGTTCCACAGTTTAGCTGTAAAATGCAGCGGGGGGGAACATCTTTCCCTGGCCAGCCTAAAATGGCGCAAAAACGGCGTGAGCTTTCCAGCTGTTCAAGACCCTTGAGCCAGGTGTTCATAACAACCGTGTGCTGTCAAATCAGTTCTGAGTTATGGCCACCCTTTCTTCTGGGCCTTCCAGGTAGAGAATACACAGAAGTAGCTTACTGCGTCCTTCTTCCGCTAGTGCCCTGGGACTGGGCAGCTTGCCCAAGGCCACATCAGATGACTCTTCTGGTAGGAAGCACAGTGGGAAACCCTCAACCTCTGGCTCTACAGCCAGATGCTTAAACCACTGGGGAATCCAGCCAACTAGATGGTGCAAGGATGATCAGGAACACACAAAAATATACAGAATCTGGCCTCGTAGGTCAGTAGTTTTGTTTTTCAATACAGAGGAGGACCGAACACCAGGAGTTGGAATTAGGGAATGCACAAAAACCCTGCCCCACATTCAGGTATCACCCGGAATTTTGTGTCTTTCTTCTGTGGCCTTCCATACAAAGCGGACTTAGATGTCTGCAAGGCTATTAAACACCCAGGCCTGTATAACTCACAATGAGCCAGCTTCCTCGGAGACATTGATATGGGCCTTGATTTTCAGATCTTTCTGGATCTGGCTGTCACAGGCTTGCTTGTAGTTCCCCATGTAAAGCTTTGCAGGAAGGATCTCCACCGGGTAAGGCTTAAAGGCCTCCAGCTCCTGTTAAGGGGGACGAACGAAGAAACAAAAGCAGTAGGAACCTGTTTTGGAACCCCAAACCTTTTGGCGTGTAGGCCTTCCAGCTCTGAGCCCCGTGGGGTTTTGAGCTGCAGGAATCTCTCACCAGGAAGGGCGGTTGTCTCTTACAGCTTATAGACCTCTCCAGCTCTTGACCCAGCCGGTACGTCCACCATCATCATCCCAAAGGCTCTGACTCATGGTGATATAGGAAGGAAGAGGCCCTGCAGCCATTTTAGAATGCTGTACACAAATGTTATCAATCTTTTCATGTTAAAAAAAGCCAAACGATAACCCTGCATGAAATGAGCTGGGGTGGAGGGAGAGGTTTGGGAGGGCCTTGGGCATGGAGTCTGACAGATATGCTCATCCCCAGCCGAAAGAGACCCATCAGGAGGGGTGCACCTGCATCTGAGGTCCACATGACCCCTTCCCCTGCCAGTTTGCGGTTCATAAAAATATGGAACCTCAAGCTGAACAGAAGATGGCAACCCTCACGCCTCTTACTCGAGGCATCCAGAAGATCTTTTGAGTCCGGAGATAATGGTAGGACCGGGTGAACCGCTGGTAGCCACCTCTCAGGACCAGAACCGGAAAGCGGGTGAGTCGCTGCATGACCCGGGCGCAACGAGCTGCAGATCCTTCCTTAGCATCTAGAAAAGAGAGAGAGAATTTTGAGAGGCAGAGCTTGGTCCTGCATGCAAGAGAGGCCCCCTTGAGAGAAATCTGTGGCTGTTCCAGAGGTGCCTGCTTGTAGAATTGGCCCCACTGAATCCATCAGATCTGTGATTTATTTCTGTTTATAGTAGGGACCCCTCATCTGCAGGATCATTATCCTCTGACTCCTTGATCTACAGTCTGACAATATTAAAAAGTATTGGGGGAAAAATTCATTATCTATAAATGATGATTTTACCAGAACCGGCTACTGCTATATATAGCATCCACTATTAAAATAGCATTCTGTGTTTTACAGCATCCGGGGGTGGGGGTGGGGAAGCAGCTTGGAATCGATCCCCTGCAGATATGGGAAGTCCTACTGTATTTATTTTATTTGTTAAGTTTTTGCACTTGTCTGCCACCTTTCTCCCAATTAAGGAACCCAAGGCAGCTCACGGGTGGTTAAAAAAAAACAAATGGAGAAAAACCACCAGAAATCAGGATACTGAAAAACAATTACACATTGATTGCCTTTTTATCATGCTTTTCGCAAAATCTGAACCTGGAGCCTGCCGCAATCTGATGGAATGCTTTCTCGCCTTATGGCTGGAGCAGGCAGCTATGAAGGGTTTCTAGCCTGCCCCTGTCCTATTTCCAGCCTCCTTGAACCCGGTTATCTGCATTTCTGGGTTCTGTTTGGGGAATAGAGGTTTGAAAGTATAACAAGGGAGGCATCTTGTTTAAGCCAGGAACCGCATTCTGGAGATACGAACCTCCATTCTTCTTTTTTTAAAAAAAGTTTCACGGATGCGAAGGGGCTCAAAGGATACTGGAGCCCTCAAGAATAGCCTTTGTGACCAGCCTATTTCCAAGCCTTGTAGTAGAGAAGAGTGAGTGAGCAATGGTGTTGACATCACACGAACTAGCCAACCAGTGCTGGGTTTTGCTCCAAGCTATCAGAACCACCACCCAGCCATATGGACCTTAAACCAAGATAGAAGCATGAGCCCTGAATGCAGAGCAAGTGCTTCTGAACTGTATTTTAAGGTCTACAAACAATTCAAGTGGCTTTACTCTTTAGGTCCTTTGGGTTTGCCTTAAGAAAACCCTACACGGCTCTCATAGTGAACAAAAAAATAAAGCTTACTATCTTCGGATGATGGCTTTTGTCTCAATCCTGAGATATTCGCTCCTGTGTCATACGCTAAGAGAAAAGAGACAGATGATAAATAATAAATTTGTTAGCATGTTCTCGCAGGTTTTGTTTTGAAATCCAGATGTGCCTGGTCTATTTTGCACCCTTCTCCCCTGCCCCAATGGCCAGCTCTCTTCAAGGACCTATCCATACAGCAGGCTGGCTCATCAGCTCAACCAGTAATAACCCCACACACATACTGGGCAAGGTCAACCAACATGGTGAGGCTGGCAGGTAGTGAGGGACGGCCACCAAAAGCCCAGTGGGCTACCCCAGCCCCCATTTCCCACCTCCCCCAGGTCACACACACTCAATTGCTAACCATATGGGACTAGAAGAGTGTGTTTGCCTATTTTGAAATGAGAAAAGAGCAATCAGAGGGAGAGTGAAGACCTTATACTAATGATGCCTCTTATTTTTGCATCATGCCAAAAAATGGCAGAAAGCTCACAAAATACTATATATCTCAGAATATCTTTAAAAACCCCAATAAAGAAAATGACAAAAGCAGCTGTTCCATCTTAAGAACTATCTGTTATATTTTAATGTGAGCTTTGGAATATTGTCTTTTATTTTGTTTTTGGCTGGGACTTGTCATTGGGTGGGGCATTTGGAATTCTCTGCTGTAGTTCAGGGGAATCCTAATGCCATCAGCAAATGAGAAACTCCAGGACTACACAGGATGTGGCCACGGCAGTTCACTGAGGTATCAAACTCCTGTAACTGTGCAATGCACATAGACTCCTGATGTGAGCCCACAGGTCCTACGATTCTGAACTCCCCGGTCTGCCTAACAGTTATAGGAAGAGGAAGCATACGTTTTAGGTCTTTATCCACTTCATATAAATCATAATCCATGTCAAAAGCAGCCTCTACAGAGTCAGTTTTCCCATCATACACCACACAGTATCTGATGTATTCCAGGTTGACGGATGGAGGAACTAAGTATTTGCCCAGGGGATTCTGCAGTAGTCAAAAAAGGAAAGGGAAAAAAGACAGCATTAATTATCATACTAGTTACACTAAATGCCAGTTGAATACAAGCCCTGGCTGTAAAGAAATTCTGCTAGCGTTTTAATCAATGTTAAATGGGGACATAGCCTATGATCTTAGTGCCAGTCTACCTTCACCTCGCAATCAAGGGGAACCCGCCAAGGAGAAGGTAATGTTTTACAGCTGCTGTGTCCAAGCGACAGCGAGGAAACAGGGGGAGATAAGCAACACATCCAGAAAGGTCACTCGCCGTTTTGACTCGTATTGCTGTCATCAAGTGGCTCTCGTTGTACTCTCTCTTTGTGCGAGCATCTGAAAATAACAGTTGTAAAAAGACAGACACGAGGGGGGGCAGCGCGGAAATCAACTTGCTTTCTACTGAAATCCAGGAGCAACCAGATTTCTCTTTTAATATTCCAAAAACTTCAATTGTTGTTTTGAAGTAATGAGCGTCACGCACTTGTTTGTTGCATCTGTGCTTACATTTGCAATGTGCCTGGCTCTCCTCCCCCACATTTCCCATGCCGACAACACCCCTGTGAAGTACGTCAGGCTGAGGGACTGGCTCAAGGTCATCTTGAGCTTCAGGGCTCAGTTTGAACGCAGGCATTCCAACTCCTAGCTCCAAAGTCTAACCACTGCACCGCACCTCCACCGGTATTTCCACATCGGTCACTGACCTGGCCTCTTGTGAGGCAGACCCTGTGTTGCTTTTCCATATGTGCTCTGTGGTTCAATCTTGATTTGCTATAGTTATCTTGTTTATTGTTATTAAATTGTTTTTTATTGTTATTAAATTGTTTTCTTTTATGCTTTGTATTGTACAGTCAGCCAGGCAAAGTGGCCTTGGCAGCCAGATGGGCAGTAAGAAAGTCAATTAAATGAATGAATGAATGAACATCGAGAGAACTTTGAATGTGCCAGTCGCCAGTGCAGAACAATAATCACTGCACGGAAGACAGGAGACTGGGATAAGTGAAGTCCAGCCATTTATGCAAAGCCCAGTTGGTGCTCAGCCTCCCCTGTTCTTATAACTTCTCCCATTTCCTCTCACAAGGTTTACATCAGAAATATTCTGATTCCAGAGCAGAAGAGCAAAGAAAAGGATCCCTTATGGGACACCCTCCTGCTCCTGATGCAAAATGCAAAGAATCAGTGGATAGCTCAGAGCTTTAGGTATCTACCTGCTAAGCCAGAGTTTGGGAGTTCGATTTTATGAGAATCCTTTAAAAACAGTCGAAGGAACAAATGGTTAGTTGAGTGAGAATCTTGAGCTTTCCCATGTTGTCCATTCCTATAACGATTGTCAACTGTCCCGATTACTTACCCAACAAACACAGATAGTTTGGCTCTGCCAGCCGGGACACTGTGGTGGCTTGGTTCAACAAATTGTACAGTTCCGTTGGCTCGCACAGCGTCACCCCCGCCATCACGCCAAACTTCGCTCTGGAGACGGTACTGGATGTGTCGGAAGGTACTCCCCAGTACAGCTGATGATCCTGAGGTTCACGCGTCAGTCGTAAACAAGCTGTCGATGCTGAAGCCTAGAGTCTGACAGCCCAAGTATTTGGTGTTGTGTAGAAATGTGGATACTGTTGAACCTAAAAAAGGAGAAAAAGGGAGAATGGTTAGGGAAGCCATGGCCAATAAACCAAATGTCCTAAAACTAACTGAAGTAATCAAACAGACATAGAATTGCAAATGAATAATGCAAGAATTTGGGAGGAAAAGAAAATATATTTTTTTGGTTTTCGGTGCTTTAAAAAGCCACAAATGCTACTGTGCGTTGATGGTTATTGCTGCTATTGTTCTTTCCCAGATCTAATGAGAGAGACCCTGAGTATTCCTGGATGATGCTTAGAAGCTCCAGGCTATGGATATTTTATTTCACATAAAATGTGGATTTTCAGTGCTCTAAGATTCTCATGCTATCATTTTAAGAAAAAAAACTATTAAAATTCATATATAATTTGTGGGACACCATGGTTTAAATGCACCTTTGCATCCCCCTCTGAATGCACGCAGGTGCATTAGAATAAATGCAGGGCGATGCAAGTCGGATCCGTCCGGCGTTCTGGTCCAGAACTCCCGTTGCTATGACGACAGGGGTTCCTGTTGCCATGGAGCCTCTGTTAAGTGTTGCCATGGGGATCACGGAGCGCAGTCCCTCCACCATGATTCTGGTTGTTATGACGTTATACCCCGCGGCAACGTTCTGCTCCACGACAGCCCGGTGGGGTGGTTGCTATGGCAACGGAGCCCGTTCTCACTCCTTCACTTCTACGGCTCCCCTTTGCTACGGGAGAAGGCTTGGCGGTAACCAAGGCTGACGTCACGGCGGACTCTCGCTCTCGCCATCTCTCGCGATATTATGGCACGGCGGGGCGGGCTCGACCAAAGACGAGCTGCATTCAAGTGGGCGTGTCTCGGAGCTGAGGTCACTCCGGAGGCATGTTGTCGCGATGCTTTTCCCTCAAACACTCGCGAGATTTGGGGGAAAATCTCTTTTATGACAATAAAACTGCAATTCCGACTTGCTTTCATTCACCTGACATTAAAGGAACTTCATAGAGATCAGTTTATTATGAGCATTATCAGAAGAGCGGCTGCACTGGGTAACGGGCAAAGGGCCACTCTAGGGAGTCTGGAAGGAGACCTGGGTCAAACCCTGCAACCTGATTGCTAACTCAGAAGCATCGCTGAAATAGAACAATAAACTTTAATTTTAAAACTATTTATTATATTTACATGTTTCAGTCCCTGTGGCATTCGACCCCGCCCTTATAGGGCTGCAGAGCTGATTCCAGGCTCATTCAGAAGGCCCAGCTCTGCAAACCCAGGTCAATACACATAGTATATGAGACACGCGGTGCGGTGCAATTATTTTTATCAACACTGAACGAATCCCTCGCCCATTCGAAAGGCGGCGAGACAATCATTAATTATTAAATTATATCATTATTAAAAATTAAGTGACTACCGGGCTTTGCCAGGAAAAGAAGCGTACTGGAGGGGGCGGGGCTGATGTAGCTCGTCTCGCGAGAAGACCCGGGGAAAAGGCCCGCAGCGGGCGGGGCCTGCGCGCCTGCCGCAGATCTCGCGAGAGGACGCGCCAACTCTCGCGGTGCCCTCGCTGCCTGGAGGTCGTCGACTGAGGAGAAAGTGCCGCCGCCGCCGCCGCGAGACCTTCCAGACGCCCAGCCATGTTCTGCCGCCTCACCCGGCCTGCCTCCGCCTGTAGCTCGTCTCGCGAGAAGACCCGGGAAAAAGGCCCGAAGCGGGCGGGGCCTGCGCGCCTGCCGCAGATCTCGCGAGAGGTCGCGCCAACTCTCGCGGTGCCCTCGCTGCCTGGAGGTCGTCGACTGAGGAGAAAGTGCCGCCGCCGCCGCCGCGAGACCTTCCAGATTCCCAGCCATGTTCTGCCGCCTCACCCGGCCTGCCTCCGCCGCCCTCCGGAGAGGGTTCGCCACCTCCTCCCAGGTATCCTGAAGCGAGGAGCCGGGCGGTCCCCGGGAGGGTCTCGAAGGGAGGCTTCGGGCCTGGAAGGCCGGGGAGGGGGAGGGGGAGAGGGAGAGAGGGATTTGCCGACGGTGGTACTGCGCATGCGCCTGGGCAGGGCTGTGCTCGGCGCTGTACTTCTAAGGCATCCAGCAATGCTAACGGGGGCGCGGTTATGGTGGGCGAGCCCTTTGGGTGCCTTTCCCCCTCCCCAATGAAAAATACCCATTGCCACCCATTCATTTACCCCTCCTTTCCCCAATCCGATAGCCTTACTTGGACCCGTGAGTATTTTAAATAGTTTAATTTGCCTGCATCTGCAAACGAGGGGTGGGGAAGGAGAGTGTCATTTTCTCTTCTGGCAGGCTTTTCGTTCGCGCCTCCCTGCCTAAGAGTGGGACTGCTGCTTATTTTAATTTTTATTTGTTTATTTATATAAAATATTATTTACCCTGCCTTTCTGCTTAAGAAGGACCCAGGGCGACTTATATCGTTCAAAGGCAGAGGTATAGCTAAAAACAGTGAGTATGTAAATACGTTTTGATGGTTTTTTCCATCTTCACCCCTTTCAAGTGATTATATTGTATTTTTTTAAAAAAATCTTGTAAGTCATGTTGGGTTCCTCTTGAGGAGAAAGGTGGAGTAGGAATCTTGCAACACTTTAGAAACTAACAGGTTTTATTAAGCATAAAATTTCCCTCCACCTCTTTACATGCATTTAATGGCTTTCACAGTAGTACAATTTTAAACAATGTGTCTGTGGTGTTCTTTCTATTCTGTATGCACCTTACTCTTTTTATTTCTGTATTTTAATGTTTCTCTCCTTTGGATTTCTTCCTTTGCTCCTTTTGTATCCTGCCTTTCCTTGGAGGTACCCCATTTTTATGCTCACAACACCCCTGTGACGTAGGTTAGGCTAGGAAAGAGATTGGGGGCCCCAAGGTCAAATAGGGAATTTTATGGCTATGTGAATATTTAGATGCAGGTTTCCCTAGCTTGAGGCCAACATAGTCCCCCCCCCTTTTTTAGTATGATGTTTGCTATGTACTGTTTCCTTTTTCTTTTAAAGTCATATCTTACAGTCTGATAACAAGTTAATAACAGGTGTTTCTTTTCTTTATTAAAATGTAGGTTGATAATTAGACTTATAGCTGAATCCTCATGTTAAATTATTTTAGAAGTAAGCCTTCCTTTAGCATAGACACACATGAGAATGCACCATAAATATTGCGACCCCAAGTAGAGATGGTAGCAAAGGAGAAACTCATTCCATTAACTTAGTGCTTTGTTTTTAAATATTGTTTCCACTTTATAGCTATTTAGCATGAAAACACTTCATCAAAGAGTTTAGGCCTTGCAGCTAATACAATTGCTTTCAAACCTCCCTTTGCCAATTTTTACAACTCCCTCTAAGAATTTATTTGCTAATGTTTTTTCAAAGGTAGGAACTTCATGAATACCAGACAGTGAACATGTTTCCCGATTTAATATTGGTGTGTATCTACTGTCAAGTTGCTTCAGACGTCGAACATCCCTGTGAATTAGTGACCTCCAGAATATTCTATTGTTCTTCCCTGTTTCCCTGAAAATAAGCCCTAGTATGTTTTTTCAGGATGCTTGTCATATAAGCCCTACCCCCAAAATAAGCCCTAGTTAAGTGAAAGCCCGCCTTCCACCCTTGTGCAGCAACCAGAAGAACATGACATGACTGTATTTGAATAAATGTAGATTGTACATGAAAAAAATAAAGCATCCCTTGAAAATAAGCCCTAATGGGATTTTTGGAGCAAAAATTAATGTAAGAGCCTGTCTTATTTTCGGGAAAAGATGGTAGCCCTGTGCAGGTCTTGCAGTCTGAAGTCCATGATTTCCTTGGCCGAGTCAATGAATCTCACGTTTGGTCTTCCTCTTCTCTTCCTACCTTTGATTTTCTTTGGCCTTACTGTTGTTTCTACTGAGTCTTCTCTTATCATGATGTGCCTAAAGTACGGTAGCCTATTCTGTCATTTCCACTTCTTGTGACAGTTCAAGCTTGGTTTGTTTTTGAAGCTACTTTTTTTTGTCTTTTATTGTGGACAGTTTGTGCGTAGGATCTGTAAACCTCTCCTCCGATACAAGATTTCTAATGAACAAATGATTTTAGAAACATTGAGTTCCTAATCTTTTTTTCAAGGAAGACAGGAATTTGCTTTCTTTTCTTACCCTGAATGAGCTTCTGCACCAACACATTGCTTACTTCTGTGGAAAACCTGTTCTTCGGTTATTTAGCAGCATGTTACATTTTTATTTCATTATCAGTTTTGTGGCCGTCTTGGAATTAAAGACAGCTGCTTTGTAGGTTCAAGGACAGAATAACAGGACTTCTTTTAATTCCAACATGGCCATTTAGATTAGTGGTTCTTAACCTTGGTTACTCAGGTGTCTTTGAACTGCAACTCCCAGAAACCCCAGCCAGCACAGCTGGTGGTAAAGGCTTCCAGGAGTTGCAGTCCAAAAACACCTGAGTAACCCAAGGTTAAGAACCACTGATTTAGATCAACCAAAATGCATAGGATAAATGAACTGCTGTTAGAGATATTGGCTCTGGCATGGTTTGTGGCCTTAAGAAATTATTTATTGCATTATATACTGATGTTCTGCACTCACGATTAAATAGATGACACAAATAATTGACAAGCAAGAACATGATCCATCACAGGGCGACACATACTCTCCAGGCTTAAAAGGAAGGTTCCTCCAAATGCAAGATGCAGGAGTATAGTATCAAGAGACAGATATCTATTTGTCTCGTGTGCTCCCAGAGGCATTGGGTGGGGCCACTGTGAGATACAGGAAGCTGGACCAAATGGGTCCTTGGCCTGATCCAGCATGGCTCTTCTTATGTTCTTATGATCAACCCAGTATTGACACGATTGATCTTGATTTATTTCCCGCAGTTATTCTGTGCTCCAAAGGATACTGCAGGAGCTGAGAATGTCTGTATGGCTACTGTGGGAATACATCTCTGTCTGCACACCTTCTCACAAATCAGTCTTTCAACCTTTTATTTAAATGACAACAGCTTCTGCCCTTAGCAGTTGGAAAAAAAAGCGGGGAATGTGGATATTTTCTTGTCTAAAACCTTCAAATTATACTGAATCTGGATGGGACCCAGCAGTGATCAAAGGACTGAACTCATAGAGCACAAGTCCAAATACCTTTTTGTGGTCTACTTGTTTGGTTGGACTTTGTCTTGGGAATTAGACCAATGTCAAGCCCTGTCTTTCACGTCATTTCCTCGCTCAGTGATGCAGAAACTTATCCTATCCTCTGGCAATGACCTATGAAAAGCTGGTGAGGTGGAATTTCAGCAGGAGGTGGCAGGGCTTTACAAAAGAGCTGGCAGGCTGGTAGAGGAATTTCTGTGGGCTCTATCTGGCCCACCGACTGAAAGCTCTCCATTCCTGCACAGCCCAAGAGTTCTTGTCTCATTATGCCCCCAAATAGTAATTTTGTTCTCTCAAACACCACTCTGAGGACAATGAAAAGGCCAAAGTGATACAGATCAGCACGCACAGTAAATCACATCCATGGCTAAGAATCTCTTATGGCTTAACTATCTGCCATGCACGCTTTGAGGGCAGCCATGCAGATTTGTTGACCCTGATTTGCAACAGTAATGGATTTTATCCCTAGAACTGGTTAACTCAGTCCCACAGTTAACTGATGTGATGATGATGCAACATTTTGAGAATCTCCTTGCATGAGAGAGTTTCTACTCTTTTTTTCCCCCTGACGCATTAAAATCTTCTGTTTTAAGTATGTCTCTTCCATTTTCTGCCCAATCCAGAACAATGCCAGAGTGGCTGTGCTGGGTGCTTCCGGTGGGATCGGCCAGCCTCTCTCTCTCTTGCTGAAGAACAGCCCCTTAATCAGTCATCTCAGCCTCTATGATATCGCTCACACTCCAGGGGTTGCTGCTGATCTCAGCCACATTGAAACAAGAGCTGAAGTGAAAGGTATGGGATGCCAGCTTCACCTTGGATACATTGCTGTGTTCTTGTGTCTTATTTACATGGTGCTAGTTATGTCATCAGGTTTCTTAAGGATGGGCAGGCAACCTGAAGCCCTCCAACAAATTCCAAGAAATTTGTACTTGGCCGTTCTTTTGCAGGTCCCTGTGTGACACCTGGACACTTAATTCAGCAGCCCGCCAAGCAAGAGAGATCAAAAAAGGCCTTCCATTCCAATGCCCCCCTGCTATTTCAGTTTTGTCCTTCCTAGCACCCCCTCTAATGAATGTCTGCAGGGACTTGGAGGTCCCTAAGTAGATATTGCTCTGAACAACAACAAAGTCCATCTCCCTGCCCGTGTCTGGTCCTTCATTTGTAGTACTAGAAATGAGAGGTAGGAGCCCACTTCACCTTTGAGAAAAAAATTCCAATTCATTTAAATGATGAATTTGTGAGAAGAATAAGTTTATGTTTTGCATTTCTATCTCTTCTCTGTGAAACTCAGGGCTTTGCGCTGCACTCTTCTGCTTACCACTTAATGCTCAGAACAATGCTAAGCGGTAAGTATGAGAGAGTAGTTGATTACCCAGGATCAGCCAGGAAGCTTCATGGCTCAGTGGGGACTAGGACATGGACAGAGAGTTGAATTGCAGTCCCACACTGTGACCTCTTTGCCACAGAGGTCAGCCTAGTGTTGACCCAGTTGATTGTGGCTTATTTGCTTCCCCAGTTAATGAATCTCCAAAGGAAATGGCAGGGGATGAGGATCTATATGTTTGGGTGGGTGTGGCTACAGTGAGAATAAATTTCTGCATCCAGAGGACACCTTCTTCCACGCACCTTCTTCCACCTTAGAAGGATCCTTGTTTGCCATATCCTACTGTCTCGAGCAAGACAAGTAACGTGTAATGGTCAGTGCTGGATCCTGTTCAGTGACCTTGGGTGACTGATTTCCATTCATTTAAAATGTCAGAGCTTAGTTTAGCATCACAGACCTGAGTTCTAAATAAAACCAGCATAAAGCAGCTTGACTTCCAGTGATTAACTTTGAATTTGTCCAGCTTGGATGTATGTTTTTGTCAGTATACTTTTTGTGTCTGAATGTATTTCTGGATACCAACTGAGACAAAGTTTGCTTGCTTGATGTGCATTTCTGTTGATGTTCCATGAAGGCTTTCAGTCTGCCTACTGGATTATTAAATTGATAGTCTTTTGGCAATTTTGAGTCTAAGAGATATGTTTTAACATGAGCTTTTGTGGCTTGTCATGTACTTCTTCAGACACACCTAACACATCCGCCTCTTTAAATATGGACTCTGTGATCTGCAGTTCCAAATGGTGATGAATCTATGCATGTTAGGGCCATACAAATAATCAGAAACCATGTAGTGCTCTAGTAGGATGGACTGAAATACTCCTTCATGAAGCTCCTTTTAAAAGGTAGAGTCACAGCAGTAAATCTTTGATGACATCAAATGAAGCCTCCAGGTGTCAAGCAGGAACCCATATTCTCTTCCCCCAGACTATGTGTGAGGTTCCTTATGGTGCTAGTTTTATAAGAAGATGAATGTTCTGTTCCAAGGAAAATGTAACTGTTTGTATTAATGCTTCAGGCTTCCTAGGACCCGAGCAGTTGCCTGACTCTCTAAAGGGCTGTGAAGTTGTCGTGATTCCAGCTGGCGTCCCTAGAAAACCTGGTGAGTCTTTAATCTGAATGAATGGGGTGGCATTCTGTCACTGTGGCACCACAGCGAGGTTATGGTCGTCTTGTGCCTCTCCATGCAGTGTCTTGTTCTTCCTGGAGAGACACAGAAGGAGGCATTGGTAGATCTTGCCACACAGACGGAAGTGTCCAGGGACAGGGGGTCCCCGAAGTACTAAGGCTAGTCCACATGGGAGAACCGTGGTACTCTTTCCCACGCAGTATTGCTGCCTAGTCTTGTCCCTTCTCCTTCACGCTGCAGCTGGGGTCCAAAGGGGCACTGCAGGGTGAGGAGATGCTCTGTCTGTCACTGAGACCGTTTTGACTGCATATTCCGATACCCAGATTGAGGCATTGAGGGCTACTGGCTTTGTTTTCCTGGGGTGCGATTTACTGGCATGAAGGTTGCGCAGGACGGAGAACGGTGCTGATATGTTCTGTTGTCTGATCCGCAGGCATGACCCGTGATGACCTTTTCAATACGAACGCCACCATTGTTGCAAACTTGGCGGCGGCTTGTGCCAAGAACTGCCCAGAGGCCATGATCTGCATTATTGCAAATCCAGTAAGGAAAATCCAGCCTTCCTTTGGTGGGGGGGGGGGTCTTGGGCAAATGTTCTGTGGCGGATGAAGTGCTTCCATGGGACCCGCTCGCTTGCTAGAGGATAAGAAGGAGGCATTCAGGCAGATTGGAAAAACAGGAGCCTCTCACTTTTCGGATTCTGTTGCATTAAAAGCAGGGAGTCCCCCCCTCTTCAATCTGCAGGGTCCCCCCATTTGATCTGTGGGAGTGGGGACCAATGGTTTTCTGGGCATTTCCATCCAGATACCAAAGACTTTCAAAACCAGAGGTGTATGCTTCTGATTTTCTCCATCTCTGTCTTCAAAAAGAATAAAAACATTTTCTCAAGTGATGGAGACTCAAAACACCACCTTGTTACATCTTGGTGTAAGTCAAGATCTCATAGGAGGCACCATTCCCACCATGAGTTGATCTTTACAGAGAAGGTATCGTTTTCCACCATGTGAGATGAAGCAAGTTTCTCCTAGAGAGTAGTAGTGTGTGGGTGATCTTTTACCAAACTCCTTCCCCAAAGTGGGTAGAGTCCAGCTGCAGTCCCTGGAATTTTAGCAGAAACAGTTTGGCCTTCCTCTTCCACCCTGCTGCTAAAGAAGCACCATAAAGGTATGTCTTAGGTTCTTATTTGAACAGCTTTGTTCATGCACATCCCTTCCACAGACTGTGGCGATGCCTGGTGGGTTTTAAAGAAAACCAGGGGTTAACAAGAGAGGATAGATGTGCTTTTAAAACTTGTAGCAGAAGTATCTGCTGTTGAATACTAGTTGCCGGGGAGCAAAAACTGGACGGCTGCAGCGTTCTTTCATGCTCTGCTCCCATCTCTCCCAGAGATGCCTGGTCAGCCACCCTGGGGCAGAAGCACAAGGAATTGGTACATCCAAGAGTATCAGAAATCAGAATAAGTTAACCCCCAGGAAGTAGAAAAAAGTAAATAGCCTTGATTCTGATTTAAAAGTGCTCAACGTATTTTGACACACAGACTTCTTCCAGAACTATGTATAAAAACAGAAATAAATTATTTATAAACAACAGGCTCAGGACAGCCGTAACAGTAACTAATGCTCATTTTTGCATTCATGCAGACAGTCTTATATCAATTAATAGGCATTCAGTTTTTTCAATAGGAATTATCTGCAGCCTAATCTCTCTGTTTCTAGTAGTACTAGTCTGCCAGTACAGTGGTGCCTCGCTTAACGGGCGCCCCGTTTAACGACGAATCCGCATAGCGATGGCTTTTTTGCGATCGCTTTTGCGATGTTGCCTATGGGGAAAAATTGCTTTGCGATTTTTCCCCCATAGCCCCATTTTCCCCCAGCTGACCAGTGGGGGCTTGGGAAGGACTGCGAGGGAGGCCTCCCCTGTGGTCCTCGCAAAGTCCTAGCCGGCATTTTCTCCCAGCTGAGTGGCGGGAGCTTCCAAAGCCACTGCCGCTCAGCTGGGCGAAGATGCCAGCTAGGGCTTTACGAGGACCGTGGGGGAGGGTTCCCTCCCTCGCGGTCCTCCCAAAGGCCCCATTTTTGCACAACTGATCGGCGGTTCCAAAATGGCCGCCCGCTGTGTTGCCTCGCTTTAGCGGCACCGAAAATGGCTGCCCCTATGGAGGATCTTCGCATAACGGTGAGTTTTCCCCCCATAGGAACGCATTAACAAGGGTTTAATGCGTTCCTATGGGTTTTTTTGCTCCGGATAGTGACGAATCCGGATAGCGACGATTTATCCGGAACGGATTATCATCGCTATGCGGGGCACCACTGTATTCTAGTCTGCTTATATGAATCTAATACCTTCCATGATACATACCAAGACTTTAGAATTGAGACTTCATTAGCTCTTTTGGTCTGTACCAGTTCCGAATACCACACAATTACAGGAAGAGCGATACGTGCTTATTAGCAACCAGCAGCTGGGTCAAGGAAAGGAGGATAATGACAGATTGCTGCCTGCAAGAGAATGGGAGCACTGCTACAGCCAAGGCAGAAAGTATGCTTCTTCATTAAGTCCCTAAGTGCTGAGTTTTAAAATCCAGTTGATATCTTTTCTAAGTAAGGACTTCTCAGATTTCACAGGGACTTCTATTCAGTTTAATATAAATTCGAGTGTTGGGCTTTCAACTCTGAATTTTAATTGTTTATGAGGCATTCTCCTTTCGAGGACCATGAAGTATTGAAAAGCAGGCTGCATTTCCAATAAGCCTGTAAACAGTTCCTAATGAAAGTCTCGGTCCTTTCTTTTCAGGTCAATTCTACGATCCCCATTACGTCTGAGATTTTTAAGAAGCACGGGGTGTACAACCCCAACAGAATTTTTGGTGTCACGACGTTGGACATTGTCCGAGCAAATACTTTTGTGGCTGAACTGAAGGTATTTTGAAGTGGGGTTTTGTTTTGTTTTTGAACATTTAAGTTTAATGCATTTGTCTGCAAGAATAGAGGGCTAAGTTTTATTTTGCGTGGCAGAATTAAAGCTTGTCTGATTCTTGGACAGGCGGCAAGCTCAAAACGAGTGGCAGATCTTGTCATTAGCTGTTGATGAAACAGCCTTCTTGGGTCTGGCTGTAGCCTCGCAGGCATCTGGTGTTACCTGAGGCTGGACCTCCTTAGCCCCAAAGGTATTTTGAAGTGGGGGTTTGTTTTGTTTTTGAACATTTAAGTTCGAACATTTAAGTCGCCCAGAGTGGTCGGGTCTACCAGATGGATGGGATATAAATCAAATAAATAAATAAATAATGCATTTGTCTGCAAGAACAGAGGGCTAAGTTTTATTTTGCTTGGCAAAATTAAAGCTTGTCTGATTCTTGGACAGGTGGCAAGCTCGAAACGAGTGGCAGATCTTGTCATTAGCTGTTGATGAAACAGCCTTCTTGGGTCTGGCTGTAGCCTCGCAGGCATCTGGTGTTACCTGAGGCTGGACCTCCTTAGCCCCTGAAATGTAGGCCTGGACCCCTTGAGGGGGTTGGGGAAAGCCCCTTGATGCTTTACAGAGAGGGATGGTGCCGAGGAGCAGAAGTGGTGGACTTCAATTGCCCTGTTGTGGGAGAGCAATCCTCGAATTCTCAGGGGATGGAAGAAGTGTATGTTAAAGACTTCTGCTGACCTTGACTGTGACTCAGTCATTCAGTACAGGCTTTAAAAAAATCATGGTCCACAATTGCAAAACAAGTGTTTATTGTTCTCCTGAAAAATCTTGGGCCAAGAAAAACTGGTGTCTGGGCCTTTGCGAAGCCTCACAGTCCCAGGGTGCCGAACAGCATGACCTCTGTTCACCTTGGCATAAGGTTACCAGGGCAATAAATAGAAATCCCGTGACAGGGTTCCAGTGGCAGTTTTGGAAGCCTACCAGTCCTTTCCAGAAGTATGGCCTGTTATATTATTAGCCCCACCGTTGGGACATAAAGCGGTGCTGGGTGAAGAGTCTGCTTGTGGACCACACTTAGATCAGAGAGCTTGCGACTGAAGCTGTTAATCAGCCCTCCACATCTGCAGGGAACACTCAGAATCTCAGAGGATTCGGGAAGATAACTGATCTGTAGAGCTGTCTGTCCGTTACGTTATTCCCTTCTGGCCCCAGCTCCCGATTCATAAAGCATGGGGAGAGGCATCCACATTGAGAAAATTGACGGTTGTTGACTCATTCTCACCTTCCAGAAGGTTGTACAGAATATCTTGGTAAGGATAGAGAAACCCAGAAAAGAAAGGGAGACTGATAGAACCTTTTTCTGACTATACATTGGAAGGACCCAAGTCTTGATGTTCCACTCCTTTGAGCTTATCTGTTCCACGAGGACTGGGAACCTTTGGGGAAACAATTCTGTGAAATAGCATATTTTGGGGGGTGCCTCATTGGATGGAAATCTGGTCCCATAGTTATGTGGACAGGGGCAAAGAACAAGTATGATTAAAAGCAATGAAGGATGGTGGCTTGCTGTTGATTTGCAGCAGTTTCTGCCTGTAAATTCCTGCTTCCTTGCAGACTGCATCACACATTCAGCAGGATTTGGTCCCAAAGGATCACTGAAAGCTGCCTCTTCTTTCCACAGGGCTTGGACCCGGCTCGTGTCAACGTCCCAGTGATTGGCGGTCATGCAGGAAAGACCATCATTCCGCTGATCTCTCAGGTGCGTGTTGGAGAATCCACCACGTAGCATTCAATGGGGGAAACAGGTGGGCAGAGCATCAGCAGGCAGTTGCCTGTCAATGTGCTGACTTAGGAAGTGCAGTTGGAGAACCTGTGAGAGAAGAATTTAGGTTTGCTTGGTCACTCAGAGGAATCCTGCCAATCTTGCTTGCTGCACCCAAGGCAGTTTGGAAGATATATTTTAAAAACACAATACATTATAATAATAAAATAGTGTTTTGAAAAACTATCAAGCTAACACGATATACAGTTAATAAAGTGTAAACCTGGTACTTCAGCCGATTGAGAAGAGCATGGTTTTTCTGATTCCAAGGAGAATTCAAGGGCAAGTCCTATGTTAGAAAGGCAGCAGTAGCCAAGCCTCACAGTTAACCATGCACTGTATTAGAAATCCATTTTCTGTTTCAAACCACTCCTGAAGGGGTGGCCAGGTGTAGCTTAGAACAGTGCTTCTCAAACTGGGGTCCCCAGATGTTCTTGGATGGCAACTCCTAGAAATGTGTGCCAGCACAGCAAAGGGGTGAAGGCTTCTGGGAATTGCAGTCGAAGAACATCTGGGTACCCCAGTTTGAGAACGACTGGTCTAGAGACAGACGTAGCTCCCTGTTCGATTGGTCTAGAGACAGACGTAGCTCCCTGTTCTGACCTTTCCTTTCCCCCTGGCTATTTCTGGTTCTTCCCATGCAAGAGGTGGTAAAATGTACATGGCATGCCTCGTGTCCGTTCCTGGAGAAAGGCACCTGCCAGGGAAGAGACATGCTGCCTCTCTTTCTTCCAGCCTGACCGATGGAAGAGGCCAGCAGAATCTTGTACTGCTCTTATTTTGTGTGGGGTGGGAATACCCTTTCCCTCCCCCGTCCCCAGGAGATGAGAAGTTACCTCTTGGGTCCCTGTTTCATTTAACACACCACCAGCTGTGTTCTCACTTTGCAAAGGGAGGTGTCTTGGCAGCGGCAGACAAAATAGTAGAAGGCGCCAGATGCACCCAGGATGCGGTCAAAAAGCTGCTGTTTTTGTGGGAAGCCTTGGGAGGCCTCCAAGTGCAAGAGGAGCGGTCATGTGAAGGATAGTCTCTGTAGCGCAACCTTGAGCATGTCCGAGCTTGGTTTCCCTGCAGCCGAAGGGGTTGGAGCACTGGAGCTCTCTGTTTTCAAGCCGGTGCTCGAGAATCGGGCAGAGGTGACGGCAGGGGCCGGGGGTCTTGAAAATAAACCTCCACGCCTCCTCTTTGTGCAGTGCACACCCAAAGTGGAATTCCCTCAGGATCAGCTGACGACCCTCATTGGAAGGATCCAGGAAGCTGGGACAGAAGTTGTCAAGGCAAAAGCAGGCGCAGGTTGGTTTATGTGGATGTCTTCCGCTCTCTCTTCAACCTCAAGCATCCGTTGGCGATGCTGTCAGCTACTCCTGGCCCATCTTCAACCTGCTTTCTTACATAAGCAAAAGTGATCCTTCCCCCCCACAGTGACTGTCATGAGAAAGACAAGAAAGACTCTTCCTGTCTGACAGTTACGGCCGCATGTTCTTATGAAATATTAGAGAATTGGGCTCCCTGCAGCTGCTCCTTCTCTGGTACTCTGAGGCAGCCAGGCTGGGCTTTCCCTTGCTGTGCTTTTCTCTGCGGGATGCTGGATACGCCACTTCCCAGTGCACCATGATCCCTTCCGTATAAATCTTACAAGGTGTCACAGCGAGATTTAGAACCAAGATGATGGTCCACCACTCTTGGCCTTGCTGTTTGAAAGACAGCCGGGAAGGGAAAAGAAGTGTAGAAGGAAGAGGAAAGCAACCAATCCAAGCACCCCAGTGCCTTTGTTCAGAAAGTTGACCTGAGAGTTTAAGGTTCTGTTCTACTCTGAACCAGGAAACTCACCAGGTGTCCTTGAGCCAGGCACCCTCCCTTGCAGCCTGGCCTACCTCACAAGGTTATTGTGAGAATAGGGGAGGTGAGAGCGATGTATACCTTCTTGACCTAACGGAAGGTGAGGCAGGCTATAAAGATCAGGACAGATCTTCCTGACAGATCAGGAAGGGGAGGAACGAACTGGCCTTGTTGACCTAACGGAAGGCGAGGCAGGCTATAAAGATCAGGATGACAGATCAGGAAGGGGAGGAACGAACTGCTTGGCAGTCTTCCTGATGAGTGGGGAAGGGAGTCCCCCTGCTCCAGTCTCTCCTTCAGCTGCAGTCCAGTGGAGCAGCTGCGGACAGGGTGAGGCAGACTTAGGTGGGGGCCATGGAACTTCTGACGCTTGCTTCCTCCTGTCTCCCATTGGCGAGGCGGGGTTCAAACATCCGCCCATTGGAAAGCTTCCCTGTAAGGTGGGTTGGCATCATCGGTGTCCCCTTGGTTCTAGAGAAGGGAGGAAAAGTGCTTTGCAGCAGCGAACTTTAACCTCTGTAGACCTTCTGAAGACATAGCTCTAGTTTTGGTTTCTTTACCCTACACTTTATTTTATGCAGATCCTTAGAAATGATGTCATCTTCAAAAGACAGCTTTCAGAGAAGGTACAAGGGGGTGGCACTGGTTCAGCACAGCCACCTCCAGCCTTCCGCCCTCTCAGCTGCAGACAGGGAGAGGGCTATGGTGAACTGGTGCAAATCCTCCCTGTCAGCATTGCATGCTTATACTGTAAATCCCAGTTAGCCTAACCATTGGTGGGTGCCAGCTGGAGGGAAGCTGCCTTACTCTGTTCACTTTGGAAAAAGAGGGACAAGGGAGGCCCCAGAGTTCATGGCAGGGGTATTTCCATGTGGCACTTAAAGGTGAGCTCAGAACTGGGCCAAGCCAGAGAAGAGAGGAATTGTGTGTCTGCCTGCCCTCCTTTGACTCTGTCTGTGTTTGTCCCAACAGGGTCAGCCACACTGTCCATGGCATATGCGGGTGCCCGGTTTGTCTTCTCTGTCCTGGATGCGATGAATGGGAAAGAAGGAGTAATTGAGTGCTCATTTGTCCGATCGGAGGAAACAGAGTGCCCGTATTTCTCCACACCGCTTCTACTTGGGGTACACGGCCTGGGCAATTCTTGACTTCAGTTTCTGTTCTTGTAGACTACCCTTTCAGGAACTTACTCAGCTTTTTTTTAATTTAAAAAACTTGTGTTACTCAATGAAACTTTGAGTATAAATTAAAATAGTCATAACCATTTAAAAAAAGGTAAAACCATACAGTTGCAAAAGGTCTTTGCCGTCATCTGCAAGCGAAGATGAATTAAGTGAGTCAAAGTAGAGGAGTCTGGAATGCGGGCCTCTCACCCAGTAGGCCCATTTTTTGGAGCTTTCCAAACTAATCTGATTTAATTGGAGACAAAGGGCAAAGCCCAAGGTCGTGATCTGAAAGCTGGATAAGTTCATGGGGACCTGGTCTGAGGCTGATGAGGGATTTTTAAAGGTCAGTGCCAGAATAGATTGACCTTAAAAACTTTGCAGACATAAATTGAGCTTGAAGTAAATTGTTAGCTTTTCTCTGGCACAACTACAGTGAAAACCACGGACAATTCAAGTAATTGAGTGCCAAAAATGAGCTTCAGGGCTGAGGGATGACCCAAATAGCTGCAAAAGGCAGACCCTCATAAGAAGCTGCAGCCAGGCATCTGTGGGATGCTAGAATAATTGGGACACAGAGGTCTGTAGCTGTCAGGTGTCTTTCGTTTGCTTTGGCCCAGCAAAATAATTTGACATGTTTTCAAAGCTTTGAAATCTTGCCTCTTTTTTTCCTCCTCAGATGACTTTCTGTTTTAGATCAGCCGTTGGCTTTTGAACAAGGGCTGTGCTGTGTCTCTAACTGCTCTGCTTCCATGCATTGATTTTTCAACCTTCTGTGTCCACAGAAAAACGGCATCGAGAAAAACCTTGGAATTGGCAAGATCTCCTCTTTTGAAGAGAAGATGGTCAGCGAGGCTATTCCGGAACTGAAAGCTTCCATCAAGAAAGGCGAAGAGTTTGCGAAGTCCATGAAGTGAAGAAGCAACAATGGCAAAAGAGAACTGCAGGCCCCTTAATTTATTTAAGGTTCATCATGTCACTTTAAAGGCTCCTGGAGGCAAAGCCTGTTTTTTTGCCCAAAAGGGCCTTGGTATTACTTGCCCTATAATCTATCATTTGAAATTCTATTCATCAATTAAAAGCCTCTTATTTTTTTCAGGGTATTCCCTGGGTAACTGGTGTGTGCTCATAGAGTGTGTGCTTGTGCGTGTTTCTCTCTGTGTGTAGAGGTTCACTGGTAAGAGCAGACTAACCCTCAAATGTCCTGCCTCCCTCAAAACCCGTTAGTGTTGCTGTAACGCGAGAAGTGGGGTTAGTTTGACAGGGCCTAACGATGCCAGAAGTACAGTTGTCTAAAGAGGTACCGTATTGAGAACGACTCTTCTATTCAGCATCATGTCGGGATTGATTTTCCTAAATGGCATCACTTCTGGCTTCCATGCATGCCTTCCCTGAACCTAAGACAAATTCTGCAGTTCGGGCGGGAGGTGTGACTGGGTTTCTTCCCTTGCTAGATCTGGAGTTTCATTAGAAAGAGGAATGTCGTAAAGATGGAGCTGACTTGACATCCCAAAGTAGGACAGTCCAGAAGAAAACTCACACCCTTTAATCTGAGGATTCTAAAAGCTGTCTGGAGTCTTCACTCCCTAAAATGAAGGGTTCCTCCCTTTGCAGGCAGTTTCTGGTCTGAATGGAACTCAGCAGACATCTCCCTCCCACTTCCCTGCTGGCTCTCTTCCTTCCACTTAAAGACTGTTTCCGTCATTTCCGGTAAGCAACGAAGTACAGACTGCTTGAGAGCTGTGCCCTTTGAGTGATGCTGAGCTCACCAGACAGTTGTCTATCACACTGCCCTCCCCACATAGTCTTGTCTTAGTTAAGGAATGGCTGTGGTGTTAAGGGTGTTGTTTTTTTTAACACCTTTTTTCCTGGCAGCTGCAGAAGGGCTCTGGCTGGGATGATGGGTGCTGCTAAAGCAAAGGCCTCGCTCAAGAGCGTGAGTACAGGCTGTGTGCTCTGAACCAGGATGCTTCAGGGGCTGGAAGGGAATTGTGCCTGACATTACAGCGCAAGCTGTGTTTCTTCCAACCAGCATGGGATTCTGGGAACTGTAGTCCAAAAAACAAATCACTCTGTAAGCTCTCAGGATCTCTAATGTGATCCACCTCACTGTACAGTACAATAGGACCCCCCCCCATATCCACAAGGAGTCAGTTCCAAGCCTAACCTCATGGATGCTGAAAAATATGGATCATAGCAAATGTATTTTAATAGTGAATACTGTTTTGACAGTGAATGCTATAATATGGTCTCTGGCCTCTTCTAGCAGCCAGTTCTGATAACTTCATATTTTTGTTATTGTTTAGTCGTGTCCGACTCGTCGTGACCCCATGGACCAGAGCACACCAGGCCCTCCTGTCTTCCACGGCCTCCCAGAGTTGGGTCAAAGTCATGTTGGTCCCTTCGGTGACCCTGTCCAACCATCTCACCCTCTGTCGTCCCCTTCTCCTCTTGCCCTCACACTTTCCCAACATCAGGGTCTTTTCCAAGGAGTCTTCTCATGAGATGGCCAAAGAATTGGAGTCTCAGCTTCAGGATCTGTTTTTCCAGTGAGCACTCAGGGTTGAAACTTCATCTTTAGAAAGATATATTTCTCTGATTTTTCTCTTACCATTTTCAAACGGTGGATAAGTGAATCGGTGGATACAGATCCCACAGATACAAAGGATGTTGTAATTTCATTCAGCTTCACTTGCTTTCTGAAAGTGTCAGAGGTGGAAGAGTCACTCTAAAATTGTGTTTTTGTCTCCTCAAGAGACCTGACACACCATGCCTCCTGCCCCTCTGTCGCCACACCTCCTGGGCAACAACCCTGTGAGACGGGGTAGGCTTAGCAGCGAATGGCCCTAGGGCTCCCCGTGAACCCCATGTCTCAGAAGAGGCTGATCCAGATTCTCTATAGACTGGAGGGGAGCTCGCTGAATGGATCAGATCCTGCTTTCTCAACTTCCCTCTGTAACAGGGTGGTCTACTCGACCAGATGGGCAGGATATAAATCAAATAAATAATAGTAATAATAGCAAGCAGGTGATAAGACTGTCCCACCTTCCAGACTTCCCATAATTCCTCAGCATTACCTTTTTCCATGGCTCTTTTGGTTTTTGAAATCAAACGCTGGGTCCACAAAACATCACATTACAGTTCAGGTTCTGGGGAAGAGGATTTCTGTGAGTAACGGCACCTCCTTCGTTATTACCAAGTTGCCGTGGGTCACCGCAGCATTTGACATCCTTTTCGCTTACAGCCCCTGACCTAAATATCCCCCTTTCCTCTCTACAAAATAGCATCAGCCTGTGGGCTGGGTATTGCAGGTGGACTCATCCATGCATGCCGCAGCAGGCACCTTCCCAGAACACTAGCGCCACCGCTGAAATACCACTTTAGAAATCGTACAAAGATGTGCATGCAGGCAGAGACATCTGGAAGAGCCAGCGGATGAAATTCATTTCGCGTACCATTCTATACCAGTACTGAAAAGCAAAGCGGTTATCTCCTCCCCTCCCCGCCCCCAAAAGGTGAGGCAAATCAAAGATGCTGGAAGCAGTTAATACATTTAGCCAAAATCGGTTCAGAATAAAATGTTGCTGTTGGTGCAAGAGAGACGAGAAGGGAATGGCAGACAGCCTCTGATGGCATAGCCATCTGATGAGAAATCGCAAGTGCAGAAACCCAGCATGTTGGCAAAAGCATGCAGGGAGGACAAGATTTTAAAAAGGCAAATCTAAGTTTGTGGCTTATATCCAGTTAGTGTTCATAACTTCTGTAATTCCCATAATACTTGAGAAATACCAAGGGAACATGCAGGACAGACGCCCCCTTGCCCTGGCATCTCTACTGAGCCACCTCTTTCTAGAGTATTACATATGCTGTGGTCTGCAGCCATAAGGGCTAGAACCTTGAGTCTTTCTGCTTTCAAATGAAAATGGGACGTCAAGCGAAATTCTACACCCAGGGCTGCCTTTGATGCTTCTCTGAGTTTAAGAAGTGTCTTCTGCACTCGGTTAAAATTGCCACTTTGTTAGACAGGTCCTGATGAACTTCTTGCCAGTAATTAATGGGAAAGGCAACTTAATTGCATGCCCGGGACATCCTTGCAGCTCATATGGAAGGCTCGTCACTGAGCTGTTTACCAGTTTCCTGTCCTGATAAAAAAATCTTAGGGGAGGACCAGGTGATGGCACCCCCTTGCCAACTGAATATATCCAGAAAGCCAATCAAAGGATTATGGCGATGGTTGTTACACTGTTCTTATCCTCAGCCACCTGATGCTCGGGGAAATCTTGCTTCTCAACAGTGACTAGACTGTGCCTTCGCTTGAAATGTGCTTATCCGTCCTTTAAAAGGATCTCAGCTCTTGGTGTGAAGCTTTTGAATTCCAGTGCTTTAAATGAAGGTGAAAATCTCTCCCCACTTCTCTTTATAAACACGCCACCTGTTTTTATTTCTAAATTGAAGTCCTTCAAACAATTTAGCCTTCCACCCACACACACACACAGGAATTTTGTATCTTGAGCTCGCTGACTCAGTGATCGTTCAGATTGTCCCTCGCTGAGATAGATTTTTGACCCCCGACGGCAATGCTTAATTTTCGATTTAATTCCCACCCTTTGGACAACAACGAATGGCAGAAATGAGTGTTGCAATTGAATTGCTATGGTAGGTATTCTTCACTCGCATCTAGTATAAGCCTGTATAATTCCTCGTTTCCAGATCACCAAAGACAGAAAAAAAAGGGTTATAATTTAGTTATTATCTACACTTCTACATTGGGTCTTAAACAGTGGGATCCACACCAGAGACCGGAGTGTTCAAAAACAGGTAAAAACGCAGCTTGGAAGCACTGATTTCCTTTATGTAACCCATCATTTAACCCTAGCAGTGACATTATAAAGACTGCCTGGAGTCTGTTTCCCCGAACCAAGAAGCCCGGATGGGATGGGTGTAGCTTTTCAGTTCCCTCTGCAGGATTTGTAATGTGTAGATGTTAAGACGGAGTACTGGAAGTTTCTAACTTTCTACATAAAGGTAAAGGTTCTCCTTTGTAATGAAGTCCAGCCGTGTTTGAATCTAGTGGCCAGTGGCTCATCCCTGTTTGGAAAAGCTAGCGTTTGTCTGTAGACACTTTCTGTGGTCACGTGGCCGGCATGACTTAGACACGGAATGCCATCACTTTCCCACCGAAGTGGTACCTATTCATCAACTTGCATTTGTATGCTTTCGAATGACCAGGTTGGCAGGAGCTGGGACAAGCCATGGGAGCTCACCCCGTCATGCAGATTGGAATGGCTGACCTTTGGATTGACAGCCTAGTAGCTTAGCCATTTAACCTGCAGCGCTACCCGTGTCTCTGACTTTCTCGCTGTTAGGGATAATGCTATCCTGGGTGAAATTTAGCACTGCAATAATGCCATTTTTGCAGTGCTAAATGGTGTCATTCCTCTGCTCCTTCAGAGAGAAAACAAGGACTTAAGAACCAGCCTTCCGACTTGCGCGCTTTCTTTTCCAGCTGGCCTAATTAAGGCGTCCGCACCGTACAGATTTCAGAATCCCTTGATCTGCGATTCACTTCCCGAAGAAACCAAGAGATGGGGCCAGTGGCTTTCCTGTATTCAGTCTACGCCACCAGTAAAGGCACGGTGAAAGGAAACGAAAAGCATCACTGTGATTCCCAAGCAATAGATAACTCATGCGTGATTTAAAAAATAATAATAATAAAAGGAGAGAGGGGGGCATTTTAATATCCAAAAGCATATTTATTCAAGGATTAAGTCAAATATGCGGCAGGCGCCCATCAGAAAGAATTGCTGCAGAAAAGTGGAAAAAAGGTCACCTGAAATTTCCAAATAGGGACGTTGCGTTAACTCCTAGCCTGCAGCCGCCTTCTTTGGTGGCTGATGAAAGAAGACAATTGCAAGTATGGGGAAATTAGTCCTTCCAGTAGTGTCGCCTTTCCTGGTCTTTAACCCTACAAAAACAGGATTGGCAGCACTGCTGGGGTGCCCCAGATTTTTCATTTTGTCAAGCCGATGATGCCACCCGTTCAGCCGTCTCTGCTGCCTCGGAGCTCCCTCGCTGTGATTTTTGCAGGGCCGAATGGACACCA